TTAGCTCGACGGTAGGTATAGGATTCAATAAATATCATTTCTAATCTAAGAAGAATTTTGCCAGATTCTTCTTTTAAATATCTCTCAATTTGCTCATCAATTTCCCTAACAGATTGAGTTAAATGCTGGTCTATATCATTTTCTGAAAGAAGTACATGCATTTTTCCTCTATGATACGGGTGGTGATAACTCGTATCATAGTTTTTTATATCAGTAGAATCACCAATCCCCTTATATTTATATTTTATGTATGTGGCGTGTATAACTAATGCTGATTTTATTTGGTCCTTTTTGCGAATCTCTTTTTTAAGAATATTCATAATTGCGCTTCGTGATGAATCCATAAATTGGGGCATGTATGGGGTGTCAGCATATTTTATTGTGTTGTCTTGACATTTATTAAATATATATGCTGGATTTTTGATTGATAGTATTATGCCTTCCCATACTGTCATAGAATTGAGATTTTGATGTTGTCTATTGGGATCGGGTTTTCTTTCTAAAAATTCTATATTTTTTGTAGGTGGCTCTTTTTCTATAACCCCATCTTCTATTTCATAAATTGATCGAAAATGGTTTTCTGGAGCATATTTTACCTCTTGAACTTCATTCAGTGAGGTTATTTCTTCTCTATATGGCCTGGACCAGCTTCTTGGGAAATTGGTTTTGGTGATTTATTTCTTTTTGCTATTTCTCGCCTTTGATCTCTTCCTCGAATGTGGGGAATGGGAGGAGGGACGCCTTGGGGAATTGTGATTTGAGTAATTGGTTTGCATTTGAATTTTCTTAATAAATGATCACGGAGTTTACGTGGTGTTGCAAAGTTATAACCACATCTATCACAAATTCTTTTACCTTTAGCCATCTTGATTTGTATATAATACTTTATAAAATTTTTATTTTAATTAATTATTTTTTCTTGATGATAGTAACTTATGAGATATATAATACCTTTACAGACTTTTTTCTTTAATTAATTATTTTCCCCTATAAGCAAAAATGATCAGAGAATATTCTTGCCTTTAATTACATAACTCTGGTAGGGATTGTAGCAGACGATCTGAAGGGTGCCACTTTCATTGGAAATCTAAGGTATGCGTTCTGTGTAGTGAATGTGGTAAGCCTACTGGCTCGAGTTCTGGGCGGTGTCCATTGCATGTTAAGGGCTATTATGTGGTCCAATATTATAACAGATTGCGTAATAAAGCCTTAAAAAACTCAGAATAGATGGTAATTTTTAGTAAAACTTTTTGGTAAGACTTTGCCAGGTTAAATTTTTTTGGTAAGACTTTTTGGTAAGACTTTGCCGGATTAAATTTTTGGTAAGACTTTTTGGTAAGACTTGGGTATAGAAAACAAAAAGTCTTACCAAAAATAGGGCAAGCCCCATTTTCGGTAAGATTTTTGTCCTTTGCTAGATAGTGTTAAATCACTTTTTGAATTAATTCTAGGATAACATAGAAAATAGTATGCATTTTAGGCTTGAATGGGATCACAAAAAGCACACTCGGACACTTCGATCCTCGGTGCTCTCTGCTCGTTTCAAGGGCAAGCAAGATAGCATAATTGTTTTGTTATCTTGTTTGGGATTAAAAACATAGCCAGAGCGTTAACAAAGACTAAGTACTCCTTAATGATGGAAGCCCAAATTTAGGAGTAAGGAGAGTAAGTTAACAGGATTTGGCTCTAGCGTAATTTAGAGCTTGAATTCGATAAAAGATTAAATATATCTAGAAGGGTTTGTAAAGGGGGTAAGGAACCTATTCTGGATACATTTACGGAATTCTGTCCCAGGACCCTTCTTTTGTCCCTACTGCTTTCATACTTAAATTCTATTAGATTTCTGGTAGTAGACCCAATACATTACCTCTTTTTGGGAATAGTGAAATGGATAGTAACAAAATTATGAATTGAAGATGACTGGCTGACTCCTCAAAAATTAGAAATTATGCAGTTGTCAGCTGACTAAATCAATGTACCATCAGATATTAGTAGAATTCTACACAAAATTTCTACAAGAGAAAGATTTTTAAAATTCACAGCAGATTAGTGGAAGACCTTTATCCTTGTATATACAACCACAATTTGTTGGGATCTGCTGTGTGATGCTGATAAAAAGATCTTGGTTATTTTGTTCAGGCATATAGCATATTAGTTTGTAGAATTATTGGTGAAAAAGATTTGAAAGAGGCACATCAATGTCTAATAGTGATGATAAAAATTATTGAAGAAATATATAGTACTGAAAAAATATCACCAAATATTACCCTAAGCCTCCATATATGTAAATGTGCTTTAGACTACGGACTAGTTTTGAACAAATGAATGGATTACTAGGTAAGTAATATATAAAAAATTAATAATTTAGCTGATACCTCTATACCCTATCTTAAAATTTGTTTAAACCAACATTGATTATTACTAAATTTGTTAAGTAAATCACATGACACATATAAATTACCTATGATCCCAATCTTATATGTAGATATGAATAGCAGAAGAATTTAAAAAAGGCAATTTTAACAATGATTACTAATTATTTTCATTGTTAAAATTTTTTTTTTGAATTCTACCACCACCTATATATCGTAATTCAAATAAGAAAATTTGTAAAAAAATTTCAATAACTCAAATTTCCTTTTTTGACTTACGATAGATCTATAATACTAAGTAATATTTATAATATATATATATTTATTTTTTATAGGAAGCTACGAAAATAGTAATAAAAAAATTGAATCAGAACTTATGAACATCATTCAAAGAAATAAACAAGTTGATAGATTAATTAATAACAGTAATGATCCTTATTTATTAGAAAGCTTGTCTATTTTGGATCTAAAACCATCAACCGGAAGCTTAAGCGTTTATGATATATCCAATAATTAAGTGATAAAATTTATTTCTATGTCAAGGTCAATTGAAGAAAGAATCTGTATTAGTACTGGATCTGATTCATTTCCTGGAACCTTTCTTATACCAAAGAAAATGATCACCTACGTCTTCCAAGAATTCGTGAAGTTACTCACTAAATACTATAATAATACATATAAAACTAATATATTCGTTCATTTGGTAGATTTAGCAACAGATAGATTAATAGCCATATCATCTATTATAAATCAATATGGAAGAATTCAAATAAGTACAGAAATTTTCAGTTCAACTTTTTCAAAGAGATATGAAAATTCTTCAAGAATACTTGCAAAATTTTTAGATGTTGATGATGTGACTACATATTTAGACCAGTTTTAGTTATTTTATGAGTATTCTATGACTACTCAGAAGTGTCAACAAAGCATAATTTCGCATATGTCTATTAGTATAAAAAGGTAAAAGATGAGGCAAAAATGATGACAAACTATATAATATAGAATTATGGAATAAGGAGTTTTATGATGTAGATTGTAATTGCATAATTCCTATACATAACATACTGGGTAAATTTGTTGCTAGTACTTATACCATTAGTTCACGAAAACCTCATGAATATATGTCTATAATTCTGTTAAATAGAAAATATAATATCTAATTATAGTACACTTTATATTCTATAATTTAATTATCTAGATTATAAAATGTGATTTATTACTATTTAAAATAATTAGAAACTGATATTTTATGCATATTGATATATTTAAGAATTATATATACATATCCGATAAAATATACAATAATTTTTATATAAATAGCTACACTTAAACAACATATTATATAACAATAATATATATTTTTCAAAATAATATTGATGGCCGATACCCATTTCTTCAAAATACTAGCTAATTTCGGCAAAATATTTTCTTAGCCGATATTTACTAATACTTTTAGTTCAAAAGCTAAAATTCTAGTATGATTTCAGCAAGATATATTTGACTTATATCCCTTATAGATATCTTGATAAAATATTGTTATTATATATAGGAATATTGGACAGCTGATATTTTGTTTGATATTTTGGTATTCAACCTGTATCTGATATAAAAACAAATTATAATATTTTAATAGAATAGTGTTTGCCATTAAAATTTTTATTAACTGAAGTAATAAAATCAATATAGCTAATATTTAGATTTTTTTGTATTCAATAATTTTTTCTCTATTTATAACTAAGAGTAGTTTTTTTACTTATTCTTTAAAAAGCATGCTGCTATTAATAGTTATAAAAATAAATTTTATTTATAAAAATATGATAGATAAATTTTTTATATTTATTTTATTAAAAATCTTTTACTTTTTTTTTGTCAAATTAAAAATTTTATTATATAAAAAATTAATATTTAGATTTTAAAATTTTATTATATAATTTTTTTATATTAAATTTATTTTTTATATTTATTAAAAAATACTTAGCATAAATATAATACAAGAGTCTTTGATTAGAAAATTTTAAAATAAAAAGATTTTACTAGATCTTATATTAAGAATTATTTGTATATTTTATTTTTATTTTTTTAATTATATAAATTTTAAGTTATTTGTAATAATTGCTAGTATTAGACTACCTATTTGTTAAATAAATATCTTAAATATTTAGTTAAATTACTTTATTTATATAAATTTAAATATAGATATTAGTTTTTTTTTTTTTTTTTTTAAGGTGAGGTTTTGCCTTTATCTTTATTTAATAATTTGTATTGAGAATCCACTAGGGG